GCATTGGGCTCCCTGCTCAGCGGGGGGTCTGCTTCATCCTCTTACCCTCCTCCCTCTCATGCTCTCTGTCTCTCATTCTCTCTCTCTCAAATAAATAAATAAAATCTTAACAAAATAAAAAAAGACACCAGTCATCAGATTTAGGGCTCCCCTTAAATCTAGGCTGATATCATTTCAAGATCCTTACCTAATTCAATCTATAAAGATCCTATTTCCAAATAAGGTCACACGCTGGGGTTCTGGGTAGACCGGAATTTTGGTGGATGCTCAGATCAACCCAGTGCCAGTGCTGTGATGGTTCAGCAAGCCTGACGTGGGTTCGGGACTGAGCAGGGACAGTAGTCCTGCTTTGCATCTGCCATCCCCATCTAGCCCAAGCCCAGAGCTTTATAGATGATGGAATTGAGGCCCAGGGAATAAAAGACTGCTGACCAGGGTCATGTAAATAGAGAATGACACAGGAGACAAGAATGAAGAAAGAAGGTGATACAGAGGTGGGGTAGGGGTGGGATGGCTCGGGATAAAATTATTATTTTAATTGTGGGATAACTGAGAAGGGCATCTTTGCATTTGACCGTTGTCCAAAGAGGGTCTAGATGGGGCAAAAAATGATCACCAGCCAATTAGAGAGAAAATCTGGCAGCCCTGGAAGAATTAATACCTCTGAGGATCAGTTTGCAGGAGACTGTTCGCCTTTTTTTGGCCAAAAGAATGAGAGCTCCGCTCAGCGGGCAAAATCCTTTCCAGACTGGTCCCTGAAAGCATCGTGCGTACAGATGCCTGCCGGTTGCCATGGTGAATGATGCTGATCTGAAGAAATGAATAACGTGAGCGTTGGGGGCGACAGTGGGATTACTCAGACAGTGGCGAGAGAGGCGTCAAGGAGAGCCCAGAGCAGAGGAGGGGAGAAGGCTCCATTCCTTCAGCTTTGGTCCACTCTGTCTGCCCCTGCAGGCTGCGTTCTAACCAGATCCACCGCGAGCATCAGGTAAGGGACATAAATGGCTCTTCTTGGAAATGGAAATGGTTTTTCCTTTCACACTCTGCTTGGCGGAGGGCCAGGCAACGGCAATATGAATAGCTAAAAATAGGGGGAATTTAGAAACAGAAGCAGAGAAAGAAAAGCAAATAAGGGAGACTGATCTGGTCCCCAAAGCTGAAGATGCTGCCCCAGTGTCTTGCCAGAAAGCTCTTAAAAATGTCTGCTGTAGAGAACTCAGTCTGCAAAGATAGCCAGCAGCAGATGCGAAGCAAACAGGGGAAAAGATGCAAGAGAAAAAAAAAACCCCAGGATTCCTGGTCACCCCTGATGGACGGGCTTTACAAAGGCCATTGCCTCTGTATTACAAGAACTGAATTAAGCTCTTCTCATTGTGGTCAGAAGTGTGTTTATAGGGATGGGTCGGGTGGAGGGGATGGGGGAGGTCATGAGAAGGGAGACTGACGAAGGGGGCGCAAACACTCTCCTTTGCAATGACCTTCCCCGGAGGGGTCTGAGCACACCTGTCTTGTCCCTTTCATTCCCCATGTTTCTGGGAAGAAATTTCCAACCAAACTGAAGGGAACTCTTCCCCTTCCTGAGCATTTCAGTTCACTGTCATCCTTAGAGAAGAAAAACAAGGATTGAAAAATCGCTCAGTGCTGTGCATCTTTCTGCAGCCCACCTCCTCTAGGGAAACGGCCATGAAAACAGAAGTTCGGAGGGAGGCAGGGAGGAGAGAGCGCAGCTTGTAATAGAAATCAGTTTGGCTTCACATCCAGTTCAGGTTAAAATCTGGCTGATGGGTTTTTACTGGGTCATTAAAATCTAAAACGCAGGCTTCTGCATTTCACATGAGACAGGAAGGGCAGAGAACAGGGCTGGGTGAGACCTGTACATGAACAGACACACAGGCTGAGTGAATATGGCTGCCCCTCATTTTTAGATCAGGGGAAATTCAGTGGAGGGGAAACTCTCTCTCTCAAAGAGATAGCATTTAAGAGAAACTAAAAAGCTTGAAGATGGTGCTCTCTTACCAAAGCGGGAGGGGTGGTAATCTGAAGAGGGCTCATTTGATTTGTGGAAAAACAGCAACCGGGTCTTAGTGCCAGCACCTCATTTTGCAATAACGTGCTGTAACTAAACCCAGCAGCCTTGCATTTGGAAATGTAGCAGTTAAGTGGCTTTGAGTCTACCTGTTAGCTGAGTGACCTCAGATTGCTCATCTGTAAAATGGGGATCTAGCTCAGAGGGCCTGATGAAGACTAAGGGAAATTTGTTACGGTATGTGAGCATCTAGCATGACACATACTAGATGTGGCATAGCAACCACTCACTAACGGTTGGTGATTACTATCATTATTAACACTCACAGTACCAGAGGTATTAAGTAGCAGCATTTATGCTGGTATTAGGAGCTGACTGCCTTGACCTACACAACTAATTTCCTGGGTACCTTCGGCCTTGAACAAACAAACAAAGAAACAAAACATGAGCGGAGGCTTTGGGGAGAAATCAGCTGCCAAGGAGTGATGACGCAAATCTCCTCTCTCATGGGCAACAGAACTGGGAGGCTAAAAAAGCAGTGGGCAGAATGTTCTAGATGACTGAGCTCACAGCACTGCGAGCAGAAAGTCCAGAAGGGATATTGTAGGTGACATAACTGTCTGACTAGGAGGTCGCAGAGCTGTGGTGACTCATGTGGGCACATTAATCGGGTTATCTGATTTCTTTTATGGCCTTTCTTCATTTTTTAAAGGCTTGGAAACAATGTTGTATCTAAGGGATCGGAGCCAGGGCAGGATGAGGCTGGGGGATGTCAGGCCTGCAGGACACAGGCTTTGACACGAGACAGCCCTGATGTGAACTTGTGTTCTTTTATTTCTTAGCTACTCCTTAGCTGAGTAACGTAACCTCTTTGCCCTCCATTTCTTTGTAAAACAGGGGCAATCTTAGTCCCCGTCGTGAATGTTCAATATACGGTGGTTATGAATATCATACATAAATGCTTCAATAGGGGATGTCATTTTCCACTTTGATTCTGGTTCTAGAATCAGGATGAACATCGAAGTTGGGAACGTCTCTCATACAGGAGCCATCATTTCCTGGTCGTCCTCAGAGCCCTGCCTGGAGGACTATTACCATATTATGTACAGGCCCAACTGGAACAGCATCTTCTCCGGCTATCTGCGTTACAGCTTCCACCACGAGGAGAAGGTGCCCCGAACAATCAGCTCCGTGGTGCTGGAACACCTGGCACCTTCCACTCTCTACTTCCTGTGCATCAGCTGCAAGAAGGCTGCCTTCCCCTACAGGCACTACTGCACCATGTTCCATACCCTGGATAAGAGTCCACTGGCGGCCGGGAGCTCCCTGGTGGACCCCCAAATCTCCCTGTGGGTGTTGATGGCCATTCTACTGGCCTGCTTCACAGCCGTCTTAGCTTTCATCTGCCTCCAGTTCTGGTGCATTCGTTGCCACGAGCCTCGATGGTCTTACCGAGCCGGCCACATGGAGGAAGCCAATGGGTTGGTGAGATGGCCAGAGGAGGCCCCCGCACTTGGGCAGAGAGAGGAAGACCTGCAAGGGCTCCCCCTGGTGGAAATGCCACGCAAAAACTCTGGCGCTGAAGCAGAAGCAGAAGCCGAAGGGGAAGCCAACGAGGATGATGCAGCTGACCAGGATGCCGCCAATCAGGATGTTCCTGACGTGGGTGCCTTGCTGAGGGGCGGTGGTGGTGATCATCCTGCCATGCTGCCTCATTTTAGGGAGTGAGAGGTAGGGAGGAGGCGGCCCGCGCGTTGTGTAGCTTAAAGCCCTCCATACAGTAGATCTTTTGTAAAAATGTGTCCCTAGACCACCCATTTGCCTCCCCTCAACTGTCAGTGCTCTTGTGGATCATCCGGGTTGGATGAATGCCCTATGACAAAGCTTCTCAAGCTAGAAAGCATATACCCCCACGGTATGCCAAAGGAGAAACATGGTGTCTCTCAGGAGTGTCCATTTAGGGGAGCCCAGTTAGGAATGAAAAACATTATTTTAATGTTAAAACAAACATGAATATATCATGGCATAGAAAGCAAAATTTGCATGACTTAATAAAACACAGTACTTCGAGGAAACTTTTGAGTTGAAGATGGGCTCTCCCGGTTATGCTTTCAGTCAGCTGAGGCAGACATCCAGTCCCCTCTGCTGTTGAGGGGACTATTTTGGAAAGATTGAGAAGCCTTGCTGAACAGTGTTTTCCAGCTTTCGGACAATCACATACCACCTCGTACCCCATCTCCATTTTGTTTAAACCATAGTCTATCTTTACTATTATTAACAATATTTTTCTTTAAATCGACTCATTTTTAAAACTTAAACTTATCTTAAAAGACAGACTTATATGACTCCATAAATGAAAAACCAGCACCCTCCTGCTATAAGTAGAAGAGACATAAGAATAAATATAATGAAAACAAAATAACATTAAGTTTGACTTAGATTCTATTGCCTACTGAAGACTCTGAGCTTAATTAAGGTCTGCTCTCTTAGCTTCGATAAAAAAAGAAAATGGAAAGGAGAAGGTATTAAAGACATATAAGCATCAACATAAATGTGTCTTTCTCCTTGTTATAATCACAAGGTTTGTAAGAGACTTGGAAAGGGAGGTGTTGTTCTTACTTTGTGAGTCAGAGTCGTTCAATGACATGTCTGAACTATCAGAAATGCTGGCTCAAAGTGTCCCTTGTGTTGAGAAAGCTGCCTTGACCAGACTGGCTGTCCTGGAGAGGACATCTACACTGTCCCAGCATCATCCCAAGACCTTCTAAGCCCACCTGTAGGCCCAAGTGGTGGGAGCTCATTGGTTCACCACACTTCCCAATCTAGGGCTCCCCAAACTAGAGGAGTACCTTTGCTTATATATATTCAGTGGTTCTTCTGAGTCCATCTGTGCTTACTTTTTGAAAATGGGGTCAAAGGTAGCCATTTCTATTCCATCACAAATAAAAATGCTGGCTTTGTTGTGGACACGTTTCGCTCTTACAGTGGCATTCTTCCCCTTCAAACCCACCGGGTAAGAGATAGATCTCCTACATCTATCACAGTGTTGGTGAGACTCTGTGAACACTGCCCCCTGTACCCACCATGGGTGCAGAAATTTGAGGAGGGGAGACATGATGTCCGTTTTAATCTCTGATATATCCCCAGCATGCAGAATCTAGCCCCATGTCTGGCTTATTGTGGGCACTTCATAAATGTCTGTTTAATGAATGGCAAAGGACTGAAGGTCTAGAACAGGGCACCATTTGGGAGGCCTGGTTAGTGTTAGGATGTGTATTGGGAACAAAGTGGCAAAGAGATGGGAAAAGACCTGTCTCTCGGCGCTAGCTCCAGCCCTCTGGGATTTCCTTCAAAACTCCACCTTCCCAATTGCTTCCTGCTGGCAAAACCCTTGCCTTTCTGGAACACAAAATCCCAGAATCACACGACCATATTGCAATGAATCAGCTGAGCAACAGGAGGAGAGAGGATGAAGATGAGAAGCCCCACGCACCTATGTCCCTGCTCACCTCAGTGAAATCCCCCCAAATAATTCCCACCCAAAAACCACCCCTGCCAGGTCTGCTTCACCCCCATCCTGGCTAGCTGTGCACAAATAAAGATAAATATACTCGCAGTTGTTTCTGCCTGGATCTCACTGCTGTCTCTCTATCTCTGCACCTTTTTACTTTTCTGATTTGGGGAACACTTTTCTAATTGCTTTTGCTCACTAGTCTTAGGAGTAGGACACAGGCAAGACTACTCACCTTGGATCCATAGAGGTAATAAGGCTGGACGTTGGCGGGCTTATCTCTTTGCGGTTCTTGGGTGAAAGGAATGGCAGTTCGAACAAAACTAGTAGAGGAAAAGAGAACGGGCGGGAGTTAACTGGGTCCTGAGAGCATTCTTCATGGGACACAACCTAGCCGGAGCCCTTCCTGACCAGGTGCAACCGCAGTGTTTCTAGGTGGTTGTCTCTAAAGGTACTAAACTCTTACGACATACACCCATTCATTTGCCTACTGTCTCCTTCCCATAGGTGGAAAAACAGTAGTCCAGATTCCCAGGCTAGCCTCTGGGCTATGGCCGCTCACAAGGACAGTAGGCAAGAAAGACAACTGGCTGGACCTGCAAATGGCCTTCTCTGGGGCTCTGATCCTTCCCCCCTACCCTGCCCAGGTTGGCTTCTTAAGAGCAGGGTTCCACAAACTCTTTCTGTAAAGGCCCAGATAGCAAGTATTCTCAGCTTTGCAAGCCAGATGGTCTCTGTCACCATTACTCAACTGTGCTGGTAGCGTGAAGTGCCCATAAATAACTGTAGATGAATGAGCATGGCTGGGTTCCAGTAAAACTTTACGAATTTCAAATGATTTTTCACTTGTCGTCAAACTATAATTTTTTGGATCTTTTCCCCCCAACCATTCAAAAATGTTAATCGCATTCTTTGCTCCTGGGTTGTACAGAGACGGCTGGCAACAAGATGTGGCTTGTGGGCGATGGCCTGCAGACCTCTGCTCAAAAGGATTTAAAGTCCCAGATCTTTACAGAATCAGAAGTCTGTCTTGCTAAATGTGTGGATTCAGGCTCATGTGTGGTTTCCTCCCAGGTCCTTCTATTCATTCAGCACATATTTATTTAATACTGGTCGTGAGCCAGGCCCTGAGGGTACCGAGAGGACCGGTAAACACATGCATGTCTGTGTAACCCAATGTACTTGTCTTGTGGGTGAATACATCTCCCATCCTCCATCAGGTTTTGAACTTCTGTGAGGATAAGGGATTAAGTCTTGTCCTCACCTCGGTGCCTGACGCAGGGCTATGTGCACCCTGCAGGAGACATACGCCACTTTGTCATGCATCCGTGTGCCTATTTTGCACAAACGTATTCATGTATGTGGATACTGTCATAAAAGTACCATCTGCTCATAAAGCACCATGTGTGCTCCTAGGTTGGACTGTGGAGTAGCGCACAGCCAGCTCCTGCTTCCTCCTGGGTCCTGCGCTATCTTTCATGGCACTGCCTCTTCCCATGGGCTCCACCCTCACCACGCACTCTCGGCTCCTTGGAGACTTTGCCTGGAATATTCTTCTCCTGTCTTTTCACCTTATTTACTCCTATTTATCCTTCACATCTCTGCTCAAGCATTACTTGTCAGAGGAGGAAGCCTCTCTTGAGGTTCCCATCACTTCCCAGGCCGGATCAGGTGGTGGTGTTTTCTCTCCCATGACTGGGGCTTTCCTCCATCTCCAGATTCACTCTTTCCATTTTTCACCGGCATCCTCCTTGCCTGAAGGCTCTCAGAGGCAGGCTTGTTCATGGTGGCATCCCCGCCCCCAGCACAGAGCCTCCAACCAGGAGGGACTCCACGACACGCCTGTTACAGGAAGGAACCGCTTCCCCGGCCCCCAGCCCACCCCAGCCCCCTTTGCACAGGGACTCCCTTACCGGTTGGTGGACCCGTTGTAGCAATAGTTGGGGAGGAAGTCGAAGTTCAGCTCCCAGAAGACGTGGAGGGTGATGCGGCCGTAGGGGGCGGACACGTTGTGATTGGCCTCCCGGAACATGGCATCGAAGCTGTCCAGGGTCATGTGCTTACACAGCAGCCGGTGCGTGAGCCGGTTGATCTCCAGCAGCCACTCCAGCTCCTGCCAGAGAGAGCCCACGGCTGCTGAGGATGTACACATACACCTCACACGCACCCCACGCGCCCCGCTTCTTCTTACGGATTCCTTTCATGCGGGGGAGGACCCCTCAGACAAGCTCCCGACTGCCGACACGAGACTAGGCCCCCGCGGTGGCATGGGACAACATGCCCTTCTTCAGAGGAGGAATTCCCAGACTGTGCAGAGGAAAGCTGCGTGCCTGCTCTGAGAAGGGGGCCACAGACCATGTACGATTGCCCCGTCTGGACCCCCTTGGGTGGAGAGCATGCCTGCTTGCTTTCCAGTCTCCATACTGGTGAGGAGAAAGCTTGCTTCTCAGTGTTGCAAGTAAACAAAAGGAAGGTGTGACTGGCTGTCACGAGATCTGTATCTTTGCCGCGCAGAGAGCCATCCTAAGAGCTATCACTCGCTTAGAACTTACTACTAGGTCAGACCACATGAAACTACTGGCTTTTAGGTTAAATACCATTGAATATGAGTAGTTTCATGTGATTCAATTTAATATACGCCAAACTGTATCCTCAGCACTTAATGTGTCTTAACTCATTTAATGCTCAAAAAAACCCTTACTTTATGCATTAGAGAAACTGAGGCTTGGAGAAGTTGAATCACTTGACTCCAAATTCAGAAAGTTGGGCTCCAAAGTCCATATTCTTAACCGCTGTATACTATAGGAATTTTAAAACTAGCTGGGGGCACAATGCCCCCTCCTTTGGATTCCTCCTGGGTCTGCCAGTCACCGGCTTGCTTACATGTTGGCAAAGGTGCAGCTAAAAGCCACGGACCGAGGACTCACGTGAGCTGTGGGCCCTGACTGCTGGGAACCCTACCTTCAGGCAGAGAATGGGAGCAAAGTGGACAATATGCAGACACAACAGGTCACTGCATTTGTTGGCAAGTAAAAGGAGAGTGACACCCTTTGGGCTGGCTTTAGTCCCTTGCCGTGCTGCTATGAGAAAGAATCAAAGCACAGTCTTCTTTCAAAGCCGTGCTGCTATGAAAAAGAATCAAAGCACAATCAAAGCACAGAGAGAGAAGCCATCCCTCTTTGTGATGCTCTAGGACACTCCCGTATTGTTGTGGTCAAGCCCTCTTTTGAGATGGGTATGATGGCCCCTGTTTCATAGAGGGGACAGATGAGGCTCAGAGGGTGAAGTAACTTGCCTAAAGTCACACAGGGAATATAGAACACGGTTTAGTGTGTGATCCCAGGTCTTCTGATGTCAAGTCACATGTGTTTGGGCCTCTGTGACAGAGCTGCCTGGACTAAAGAAGCAATTTGCTAAGAGAGCCCCTTGAACAGTAATGATCAAAGTAAAGATGGTTTGACAATATAAAAACTCCACGAACATTGGCAAGGGCAGTTGACCAGAGGGTGGCCAGGAGGCGGGACAGCCAGAGGGCCAGCTTTAATGGCTGGGATAGGGAGCTCAGGCATCTACAGTCGGTCATAGGGTGCAGCCCTACACCAGGGAATCAATTTTACTCTCATCAGCCACAAGGCATCCCTCACGCCGGTTGGGGCCCAGAGTGTGGCCAGGTGGAGGCCCCAGACCATGCTTCCAATCTTGGAGCTTTGTCTTTCTGAAACTCAGATGCTATGGCTCTAAACTGGGGGTGCAGAAGTGGATCGAAGCTTGCAAACTTCAATGGCTGCAGAGGCTAGCCAGCTCAGGGAAGAGACACGGGCAGGAGCGGGAGGGATTCCTGGGGCTGGGCTGTCTGTGGCAGAATGTCTGCCCAGAGACGGGGGAGCTGCTACTTAACTCCATAGAGTTGTTACCTCCTCAGAATGGGCTCAGTGATGACAGAGTTCACAGTCTTTCAAAAGAAGGTCAAAATCTGGATTTTAATTCTGGAATGGCAACTGGAAGAGTAAGTTTCCAGTTATTGTGTACCATGAAGTAAATGAAGGGCAGAAATACCAAATCACCTCTCTGCTTCTGTCTCTTAGGGCCTACCCAGGTGGACTATTAACTTTGTGCCCATTCACTTCAGATGGGTAAAAAAAATGAATTAAATAAAATAAATGGAATAAATGCCAATGATTTTATTTCTAAGCTCCCTGAGGAGTCCCATGGCACACTGAAGTGCCATGTTACCAGGAAGATAACTGCAAGCGAAAAACCAGGGAATGTTCTGTGATTTTAACAGTCTCACAAATGTGTGTCGGCGTTTACAGGGAGACCGAAGGAGGGAGTTCTCAACGCTGCTGATGTGGGACTGCTGGAAACACAGGTCCGCTTCTCCTGCCATACAACAGTACCAAGGTTTCTGACAGGTAATCCAAGCCCTGTTTTGGCCTCAGCCATGTTATTCCGGCCTTCAAATCGTAAGAGGGCACTTGCCTCCGGGATGCGGAGCTCCGTCCATCAAGCTTGGCGCAGGTTGAAAAGGCCTTTTGAGTGGTTCCGGTGCCTTCTGAGAGGGTCTCAGTTTTCTACAGTAGAGTTGGTTTACTGGGGGCAACGTAGAGAAGCAGAACTGGGGAAATAAAACACCTAACGGGGCAACTTCTGTGAAGGAGTGGAAAGAGCTCTTGGATGGGGACCGGAAAAGCTGAGTGTCAGCCACACGGGACTGCTCACCAGCTCTGTGGCCCCAGGCAGGTGAGAAGACCAGGGGTCTCGAAGTCAGGTGCAGCGAGGCATGGAAGGTCCTACACGGGAATGAGGTGTACCAGTGAGGCTGGCGTCAAGCTGAAGAGAGCACAGCCGGGCTGACAGGATCATCTAGTCATTTCTAGACGATCGCTGCCATCTGGAATGGCTGGGGTGGTGTTGCCAAAGCTTCTGCAGTTTTATTCAAATTCTTCCAAATGTTAAATGTTGGCTCAAAATTTCCAGTGTGTTCTGCAGCCTAAACAAAACACAGCCTGCAAGCTGCCAGCCCTCAAATCCAGCATCAGATCTCTCCGAGAATCTATTTGCTCAGCTGTGTAGGATGAGGACGGCTGACTTAAGAAATCTCTGCCACCCTCCCAGCTTGGCATCATCAAGCCGCCTTCCCATCTCAGAACGGAGTTTCCAAGGTGGAGGGAAGGGCTGAAGGGAGCAGATTCCTCGGGCTGTTTCTCAGAAGAGGCAGAAGCTTCTCAGCCAAGGCCAGTAGGAGCCTCCTGACCCCCACAGGAGAGAGCATTCCTGGGGTCTCCTCTTCATGGGCTTCACAGGGAGTGCCTGCTCTCCTGGGGGTTGCTGCCCTCACCTGATAAACACGGGCTTTCACTGCTTGTTTTGATTTTGTTCTCAACTAAAAGAACATTCAGTGCCTTTCAAGGGATTGGAAGAGGTCATGGACACCCATACACACCCCAGACCAGTTTTTCCATGAGATATGCTCATTCATTACTGGACAGCTAGAAGTTACAGATAAACAACAAAGATGAAAAAAAAATCCCATCACTGCTAACATTCTGGCATAAACAAAGAAAAATCTATTCCTTTCTTCCTTCCTTTCTTCCTTCCTTCCTTCCTTCCTTCCTTCCTCCCAAGAAAAATCTACTTCTTTAAATAGATCTCCCAGAACATGTGCTATATGATAGTCTCCTAAAGTAACTGACCCAGGACTTAGGTGGGTAGCTGGGGGCAAGTCCTCACAGGAAATGCTGCTGAAAATTCACCCTGAGAATGTCTCATTGTACCCCAAAATTTTTATGCTCCTCTCATCTTTTTTTCATAAGCTATTATTTATTAAGTGCAAGTCATCCTTATAAAAACGTTAGACTATGATTTCTAACATTCCTCTATCATGTAGATGGGGAAATGACCTTGTAGAAGTTAAATAACTGGCCAAAATTGCCGGCTAGTAAGTGGCAGGGCCAAGACTAGCACCCAAGGTCTTTCTGACTCTAGAGCCCTAGTCCCTAGTCACTTTTTTTTTAAACTACTTTGTCCATTTAAAAAATGCTTTTTTAAAAAATTTTGAAATAATTTTAGACTTACTTTTTTGTAAGTGAAAAAGCAGAGTTCCTGCATATCCTTGACCCAATTTCCCCAATGTTAACAGCTTACATAACCATGGCATAATTATCAAAGTAGGAAATTAACGTTGGTCCCGTTCTATTAACTAAATGACACACTTATTCAGATGTCACCAGATTCTCCACGAGGGTCCTTTTTTCTGTTCTATGATTCAATCTGGAATCCCACATTGCCTTTAGTTGTCATTCTTCTTAGTCTTTTCTCAATCACTAACATTTTTCAGTCTTTGTCTTTTTTGACCTGGATGCTTTTGAAAAGTATCGTTCATTTTTTTAATGCCATTTAATTGCTGTTTATCTGATATTTTCTCATGATTAGATTGAGAACATGCATTTTGGCAAGAATACCACAGAAGAATACCAGCAGGGGTTACATGAATATATATTATTACTGGTGTTGTTGACCTTTGATGCTTGGTTAAGATGGTGTTCCCACTGTAAAGTTACTAATCTTCCTTTTGGAGTTAATAAATATCTTGAAGGAGATAGTGTGAGACTATGCAAGAATCCTGCTGCTTCTTAGTTTTTTTTTTTTAATTTCCGAGTAATTTTTAAAATTGTGGTCAAATATATGTAACAGAAAACTTACCACTGACACCATTTTTGAGTGTATAGTTCTGTGGCGTTCAGTTCATTCACATGACTATGCTATCATCATCACCATCCATCTCCAGAACCTAATTTCCCTCAACCCAAACTCCACACACCAATTCCCTCGTCCCCGGTAATCACCAGCCCACTTTCTGTCTCTATGAATGTGACTACTCTAGGGACCTCGTAATAAGAGGAACCATAAAATATTCTTCTCAAAGGTCCGCCTACTAATTTTAGCATCCATTGCTGGATTTTGCCCACAACTGTCACCGTGGCGTTCTAAGGGTGATTTTCTATTTCTCTCATTTCTTCTACTCATCTGCTTTTGAAAGCATGAAAGTCTTCCTCTGATTCACTTCAGGACTGGTCAATCAAGTTTATTCTAATTCTTGGAGAGGAAGAGTTAGCAGAGAGTAGCTCAAATTGCTGTTTACTCCCTGCTTGTGCATCAGGACCAAAGACATAGTTTCCAGGTCCCAGTGCAAAATGGAAAGGTGGGGACCCTTGTTAAAAAATTAAGAATTTCAAGATGGCAATGGCAGAGCATTAAACCCAGCATGGAGCCCTTCTGGGCCCTATGCTGCACACCCATGATGCCCACCCTGTTGTGCAACCTTCCCTAGCTTCTCAGGACCTTCCCTGTACTTGCTCAGCTCAGTAGTAACCCAAAGGACAAGCAACTGTGCCCCAGGGTTGACCATGTCAGAGATCTCAAGGCAATCAAGAGGGTAAGATCACTCATTCTTTTTAAGTTTTTTTTTTTTTTTTTTTTTTACCTCTCCATTCAGTTGGGAAGAGACTCACTGCTTCTCTTTAACTAGCTCAGTACCAACCTAACAACACCTCCAACTAGGCTTCAGGTCTAAGGACTCCCAGACCAGGACTCCCACGGGCCCCCAGTCTCTTACCACAATGGAAGTCAGGTCCTCACTCTCGAAGCGGCTGATGGCCTGGTCCAAGGATTTATACATGGCGGCCGAGATGCGCTGGGTGATGAGTCTGTTCAAGTCAATTGATCTACCCAACAACTACATGGAAGGGACAGAGAGAAAAGTTACTTAAGGTTCTCACAGGCACATGACAACTAAATGCAATGCATTGATAAGAAATTGGATTAAAAGCAAAAAGACATTACTGGGACAAATGAGGACTCTATGCAGAAAACAGTATTGTTAAATTTCCTGAGTATGATCATTCTATCTTGATTATGAGAGAATGTCCTCATTCTTAGGAGATACATGCTGAGGTATTCATGGGTAAAGTGTCATGACGTCTGCGACTTACTCTCAAACAGCTAAGAAAAAGAGTACATATATTTAAAACATATGTAATTTAATGTTACATATATATGTATTCTTATAAATTATTTACACATACTATATCTTTATATACTACATATATTTACTATTTATGTATTTATTTACTATTTATATACTACTTACTACATCTGCTATATTTATAATATATATACTATATACTACTTATATATTTATATACTATTTACCTAAACTTTATATATATACACACACACATATTCATATACTGCACTTTGCTAGGTGCCCAAGGATTATTCTTAACTATTTTATTTTTTTTACTGTATTTGCAAGAAAGAAAAAATATGCATATAAGAGAAAGTAAAGCAAATGTGGTAAAATATTAATGATCACAAATCTGCCTGTAGAGTATATATATGTTCATTGTGTTATTCTTTCAACTTAAGTTTGAAATATAAGAAGTTGAGGAAAATAGGATTCATCCAGACTGTAGGAAAAGGCTCAGGACAGGCTCCGGCACCCCATGCAATGTTGACATCCTAAATTTAGCTATGAGGTCCTTCCCACATTGGTCCCAGGCACCACCAATCACAAGAGAGTAGCAGCTCCCTCAGCAAGGGCCCACTGCGTGCCTTTATGGGGATGAGTATAGAAGCACGAGAATGAAGGGCTGGATGGAAAACAGAACTTACGCTAATTTCCGCCAGGGCACACACATGTGGGCAATATCACAGATGCGATGCAAATAGCAATAAACATTTACTGAGTACCTGCTGTGTGCATTGTGCTTTGCTAGGTGTCCAAGGATTATTCTTAACTATTTTACTTCTTTTTCTATTTCCCTTTTGGGAGATTTTCTACCAACTGACTAGGACCCCTGGCAGCTACCTTGTGTACACATGGAGCCCTCAGTATTTAATGTCCTGTGGCTAATTCTGGCTGCATCAGTAACTGATGGCTGTAATTTCCTGAGAGGCTGGAGGAAAAGTACTGAGCTTCTGCTGTTGAGAGATGACGATGTTCTTTTCTCTCTCATTATTCTCCATTTCCCTTTGATTTCTCACGGCAATGAAAATGCCCAGGGTTTCCAGGGTAACCCCTTCCTCTTCACCTGGGGCACTTCTCAGCCGTGGCCCTTCACCTGGGTCTTCCCCACACACACTGTGGCCCACGCACCAAGCGCAGAGGTCACGGCGTAAAGGCCATACCAGCTTCACGCGGCTGACAGCGTGGTGTAGGAGTCAGGTGGCCGGAGCATCTCGTATTTTGCCTGCCTGGCTCACGTTAACATTTTTAAGCAGCGATCTGTGTCTGAGCTCCTGGCAGCATTTATTGCCTCTACATCTGGGGTCAAATGTGAACAAAAAGCAACTCCACAAAAACACACTAATTTCTAGCGTGGGTTTAGCGGACATGCTTCATTTCAAAGCACGAAGCAGCCTGCCTTCACTTAGACCAGCATGAGGGCCCTGCTCAGGAGCAGTTGCCCATTCCTGAGCAGCAGTCCCCATGGAAGGAAGTGAGCCGCGGCTTATGACAAGAGGACAAAGGCTTTGGTGGCCACGACTCCCCAGAGGTGAGCTGCAGGTGGACTGAGAAGCCTAGAAATTGAACCACAGGATGCCAATGCCTCTTTATTGCTTATAAGATTCCGAGGCTGGGCTACACTCATGCTCAGAAGTCCACACGGGTGGCACGCAGGGCGGAGAGTATGCAGTCCCGGTCTCCAATCTCCCCGCTAACTTCACGGCTACTCTCTAGCCTGTCCCACCTGCCCTCTGGCTTTCTTTTTTTTTTAAAGATTTATTTATTTATTTATTTGAGAGAGAGAGAGTGAGAGAGAGCCC